CAACCCAAAATCGAAAACAAATTAATCATGATTTATATGTTTTCTCAAAATTACTTATTCTAACACTGTTCTCTTGTCCATTCCAGTCTACTTTAGTAAGGGTTTATCCGGTCTCTTCTAACACCAATTTCTTTCCCATTCGGATCTGTTTCCCATCTTGCTGTTCTTTCTGGAGCCTCTGTCTTACCCACTTTCCTATATCTTCTACGCCAACATTGTACATTTGATAAATTTTTCTCAAATTAACAGCTCATTTAAACCATTGCTCAATTTCATCTGTCTTACTCCCTGCTTTGGTGTGCACAAAAGTGGATGGGGTCGCCAGTGCTATGGACAGTTCTGCCCTCTCGACTTCGAGCTCAGACACAATGCATAGCCCTACCGGAGGCACTGCGTCCATTATTTCCAACACATCTGTAGACAGACAGTTGGCGTCTCCGAAGTTGACAGGAAAGGCAACAACTCCTAGTACTATAGACTCAACCACTTTGGACGTGTTCACATGGAAACAGACGACCGGATGGTTAGCGTCAGCTGGCGACCACCTCAATCGACATGTGGCTCGAATAAGCGCACTCTTCTCACCTAGGTTAGTTTGCCATACAACATAGATAACGACTATTTTATAGGATCTTGATCTAAATTGATAATTTTTCAGATGATCGCCCTTATTAGATGAAAGTAGTGCATAGTTATGCTAAGGATTTTGTTATGAAGAGAAGAGGGATGTCAAAGAAGCCATGAAAAGATTGATAATGATGTACCTTACATTTATAGTCGTATTTGAGTAGGGTTTCGAGACTACCAGTAAATCTTATTACACCTTACATTTAGTTTGAGAGGGCTAGTAGAAGAGCTTCGTAAATTGACCTTAATATACATCAATTAAGGGTTATCTTGGATTTGTGACTACTTTCTTGTGACGAAAAGACCTCGGCTCATCGCCCTGGGAGACACATAATTCTGTGCTAAGCTTTCGTGTTTCCTCTGATGACGACGCGTAAATTGGTCTCATCGGATACCAAAGAGGCATGCCTTGGACGTGTGACTGCTTGAATGTGTTAAGAAGACCTGATCAACCAAGCTTATCGTTAATTTCTAAGAAGACCTTGACCCATTGTCTTATGACATCGATGAATGAGTGCTAAGTTTGCATCCGCCAAGTAAGTGACATTGTCAAACAAAGAAACGTCATTTACGAAATAATGGGACCCCGTTAACGAAATTTGGTCATGTTGTCAGGGTGATTTAGTTGGACGCACCTAGTCAGAATTCCTACGCTATAGTAGTTATCACAACTCCCAGTGTTTGACCGTGTACTTTGTACATTCCCAGACGTCCCGCCGGCATTGTATTCGGCAGTGTCAGTGAGTCTTGCAACAAGATACAACTCGCTAATGTGAAGTCAATCCCGTGACAAACTTTCCGACGAACGAAGGTATCAAGACCAAGATAGTGTGGCCTTTGTGTGGTCGCAGTCTCCTTTTGTTGTATAGAAGTTGTTTGACCTTGTTTTCGCAACTTGGCCATATTGGTAGGAAAACTTAGAGGAACGCACCTAGTCCTGAGTCCATTGTATGCATCATCATTTCCAAAGTCGGACTGTGGACGTGGTAAATTCCCAGACATTTTACCGGCATCGTAGTCGGCATCGTCAGTGAGTCTGCCATTCTTAGCACCACACAACAACTCGTCCTAAGGGGGGGAGAACGACAGTCTGGAGTGTGAAGGGTTTTCATGAATGCCGATCAAAGGAGCACACCACACTACATGTAAATAAGCACAGTAAAAATTATAACAGTGACGGCGCGATAGGTGGGTGTAGGAAATGTGAATAGCCCAGGGCAGAACAGGAGATACCACAGCAGTTTATTACACGTTTGGTCAAAAGATCGGCTTCTTTTGTCTCTTTGACGAGTTGTTGTGTGATACTAAGAATGACGAAACTCACTGACGATGCCGACAAAATGTCTGGGAATGTACCACATCCACGGTCCGACCCTGGAAATTATCATGCATACAATGAACTCCGGACTAGGTGCGTTCCTCTAAGTCTTCCTACCAATATGACCGAGTTGCGAAAATAAGGTCAAACAATTTCTGTCGAATGGTTGTACCATCACTCCTCTTCCTGTCCTGGCACATCACCTACTCACCAGGCGCTCTGCTCGGTAAGGTTACGGTATACTTTAATACGTAATGAAAGTCCCCCCAACAATGTTTTCTGCTTGACCCCGAGGAATAGCGCCTGGAGTAAAACGTATACTGCGACTGGTAACAGATGAAATCAGATAACAAGATAGATAATAAACAAAATTTTGAGGGCATGAGGTTGATCCGGTTAGTAGATGCAATACGAACAAACAATTCCGGCAATCCGAGATGAATGAGGGGTAAGGTAAACAAGCATGTGTGATAAATCTCCGCTAAATTCGCAACAAAAGGGCACATCTCTAAAGTAATATAATATAAACAAGTTAGAAATTGTGATAGCGATGTAGTAAGATAAGAGCATATGGAGTAGGTAGATGTCTCAGAACAGAAAGAGGGGTGATAGCACAACCTTTCTACGGAAATTTGACTAAGGAATTGACTTCAATTGCTTTTTGACAAGTTGTAGTTTAGTGTAGTGAATGGCAAAACTCATTAAAGATGCAGACTACGTTGTCGGCTAAACGTTTAGGAATGTACCAAATTCAAGTTTCGAAGCTAGAAATGATCTAAACTAATATAGAAGAGGACTTCGGATAAGGTGCACCCAACTAGATTGCTCTGACAATATAATCGAGTTGCAAATATGAGGTCAGACCATTCCCATATACATTGAACGGAGACTGCGACCAAAACAGAATCTAAAATAGCTTGGTCTTCATATCTAGAATAATTAACGAATATTCACCAAAAAACCTTAAGCTAAGAAAGGTGGTCAGCTCAAATCCTACTTATTTTATTTACCTAACGGTGAGATCTTATTGTAGCACTCATGATATGGCTGGCTACTTCATGCTTTACCCTACAAGCATACGAACGAGTGAAGTTGATGCATGGACAGCGGAGAAAATGCGATCACAGCTATTTGCTTAACATAGTCTAACCCGCATATGATCCTGCAAGCTGTCGCTTACTTTAGGGTCATGCATGTATGTGCTATGCCATTGAGTCATTTG